TTTTTTGAAACAGGGTCTCCCTGTAGCCCCAGCTGGCCTGGAACTCACTGTGTAGACCAGGCTGGCCTTAAACTTACAGAGATCTGCCTGCCTCTACCTCCCAAGTGCTGGGACTAAAAGCATGAGCCACCACACCTGGCTGGCTCACAACCATCTGTAACTTCAATTCCAGAAAATCTGATACCCTCTTGTGGACTTAGTGGGCACCAGAAACACATGTGGTGCACATACATACATGCAGGCAAAACACTCATAGGCATAAATAAAATAAATGAATCTTTTAAAAAGATGGTAAGATGAATTATTTCAATTAATATTTATTGAACCAGATACCATGCTAACCACTCAAAAAAAAAAAAACTCTCCTGTCTTTATTTTTATGTGTATGTGTACATCTGCAGAGGCCAGAAGAGAGATCCCCTGGAGTTACAAGCAGTTGTGGGTCACCCAATGTGGGTGCTAGGATCCAAACTCTGGTCCTTTGGAAGGACAGCAAACACTCTAAACCACTGAATCATCTCTCCAGTCCCTGTGATAACCACTTTTGAATAAGCTAGCTTGAGTGACTGTCTCATATTCCCATGAGACAGGCTTTATTCCCTTTCTACAGAAGTGAAAACTATAGCTTGGAGCAACAAGGTAGGTAATTTGGCCAAAGTCACAAAGCTGGACAATTTGAGGTAAACTGTGTCATAGGCTAAAGAAAAAGACAGAACATCCAGATCTCTTCCAACCTAGAAGGATGGGGATTTCCTTACAGCCACAGCCATAAAGAAAAATCTCCAGGGAAAGGCCCTGGTGATTCCCAACAGACCAATGTTTGGTGAACACTGTATCTAACTTCCAGGTCCAGATTCCCAGAGTGTGTACCTAGATTGTGACAATGGTCTCCAACACTCCTTCTGTACCTTTATCCTAAATCATTTTTATACCTGTCATATCTTGGTAGATCTGAGTTTGTGAAGAATGAGCCTTCCCATTTTCTATTTCTTTTTTTTAAACTTTTTTAAAAAAAATTGTTTTTATTTTATGTGTATGCGTATATTGCCTGCATGTAAGTAAGTGCATCCATGTCATGCAATGCCCAAGGAGGACAGAAGTGGCTGTCAGATCCCCTGGAACTGGAGTTACAGACAGTTGTTAGCTGCCATGTGGGTGCTGGGATTCAAACCCAGGTCTTCTGCAAGAACAGTCAGTGTTCTTAACCACTGAGCCATCTTTCCAGCCCCAAGCCTTCCCATTTTCAAGGTGAACAAAAAAAATTGAGGTTCCAAGCAACTCACTTAAAGTCATAGGCATCACTCATCACCAGGAGGATAATTGTTGCCATCAGAGGCTGGCAATGCCCTGGAAACAGGTGGACATGTTTTTCTAATTGATTGAGAGGCAGAGGAGTATCATTGCGGAGCTAGTGCTGTGGACCTCTCAGGCAGACCTGGGTTCTTACTCTAATTCTTCAGATTGCAGAACTACTATAGTTCAAGAAGGAAAAAAAAAAAGTAGCATAGTCCAGAAAGAGGAGGTCTGCTTTGAGAGGTGGTTATCTGGGCAGAAGAGAGAAGTTAGGAGCTCCTCAAGGGCAGAAACTTATCTTACTTTTATATTTCTAGTGTCTAGTTCAGTGCCAGGGACATACTTGGTACTCAATAAATCTCTGTTGACTTGAGGAGGATATTTGGAAGGAGAAAGGGGAGGCAACTGGAGCAAGTTTAGAATCAAGAATCACGGGAAAGACAGCCTAGAAAGATGGGGTCCGGAAGAGAGCCTCCAGACATTTGACCCTGGTTCCCTTACTATGAATCATTGGGAAATCCTCCAGAGGAACAGGGTGCTGTGGCTTTAAATGACTTCAGCATTGTCAATGAATCTGCTCTGCTAAAAGAGTTATCCTTTTGCTCCTGCCCTTGGCCTCCCCCTCCTCTCAGCTCCCCAAACCCTTCTCAGCCGCTGTGATGGGATAATTAGATGCGAGAGCTCAGCACAGATGATGCTCCAGTTGCTTAGCAACTAATGGTTTCCATGGAGACGGCAAAGCACAGCCTCCAGAGCAGCCAGTGAGCAGCTCTGCAGGGCAGGGAGAAGACGCAACTCTCTGCTCCTCCAGAAACCTGGGGAGGGTTGGGGTGGAGAAGGTGGGGGGGTTGGAGGGAAAAGGGAGAGCTTAAAGGCACAGGGCCTCATATCCCTTTAAAATCTGGGGGAGATCCTCCCTCTCCTATCTCACCGTGTCTCACTCCTAATTTCAGATGGGGATTGGGGCTTAAGAGTGAACCAATATAACCTGCCCTGCAGTAAACCTGGCCTTTTCTGATTCCTGCTTAGACTAAATGGGAAGGGATAGCTCCCAAGCCCACATGCAAACAGCCTGCTAAGTGAGTGATGTGGTGATGAGGTTTGAGAAGTGCTAGGAAGATCCCCCAACCCTTACATCCCACCCTGTAGTCCTCTCCCCTACCTCAAGTTCTCTTTCATATGTGGAAAGATCCTCTTTCAGTTTGCAGAGTGGGGATAAGATCTCATTTAAAGGGTACAAAAGTCAATGAACAGGAAAAGCAGGATTTAATTCTCTACCCAAAGGCAGCCTGTCCTGGGAAGAACCTCTGCTCCTGATTTCCATTAGAGCTGTGTGTGTGTGTGCACTAATGTTCACCAAGCATCTGTCAACTCCCAAGTGTAGGTCTCTCAGACTAGCACCCTCTACATTACCTGAAAGCTCCTTGGAAATGCAATTTCAGAGACCAGTGAGATGGTTCTGAGGCTAAAGGCACTTGCCACCAAGCCTGATGATCTAAGTGTGAGGCCCAAAACCTACATGGTGGAAGGAGAGAACCACATGCACACTATGGCACATGCAAAATAAATAAAACAATAAATTAAAAGTCAATATAATAATGCCGGGTGTGGTGGCACATGCCTTTAGTACCAGCTCTTGGAAGGCAGAGGCAGGTGGATCTCTGTGAATACAAGGCCAGCCTAGTGAGTTCCAGGCTAGCTGGGACTTCAAGGAGACCCTGTCTCAAAACAAAACAAAACAAAACAAAAAAAAAGTCAATAAAAATTGGGGGGGGGGTGGCAGAGAGATGGCTCAGCGGTTAAGAGTACTGGCTGCTCTCATAGAGGACCCAGGTTTGATTCCCAGAATTCACATGGCAGCTAACAACCATCTGTAACTCCAGTTACAGGGGGTCCAATGCCTTCTTCAGACCTCTTTGGGTATTGTACAACATGAGTGCACTTACATGCATGCAGGCAATATATTCATATACATAAAATCAAGAATAATAAAGAAAAAAAATTTGGGGGGTCTTTTTGAGACAGGGTCTCCCTGTAGCCCCAGCTGTCCTGGTACTCACTATGTAGACCAGGCTGGCCTCGAACTCACCAAGCTTTTTTCGAAAATTTTTTTTTTTTTAATTTTTTAAGATGCAGCTTCATGCCAGGTGTGGTGGTCCATGCCTTTAGTCCCAGCACTGGGGAGGCAGAGGCAGGCGGATCTCTGTGAGTTCAAGGCTAGTCTGGTCTACAGAGTGAGTTCCAGGCCGGCTGGGGCTATAGGGAGACCCTGTCTCAAAAAAAACAAAAAAACAGAAGCTGCATCTAAAGCTCCCTGGTGATGATTCACTGCAGCACACTCAATTTGGAGGCATTCTGGTCCAAGCCTCCTGCCCCCTGCCTGGGCCCCTGAGATCTCAGATTTTGAGCCCACCAACCTTGGGGACAAGGATACAACCTCACCAGTCCAGCACTTTTCCACTAGGACCTGGGCCTCTCTCTGAGACTGGGGAATATAAGTAGTTCACAAAGCAAAGAGACTGACAATACTCTGCTGAACTCAGGCTCTGTAAAGTTCTCCAAGCTTTCCTGACAAAACCCTCCACTTTCCAGTGACAACCTGTCTGAGTCTCAGGTTCCAAATCTACAACACACAACACCACTCAGGATGGCTGTGGGTCAAGAATGTGAGAGCATGCAGAGCTCCTGCCCAGTGCCCAGTGCCCAGAGCAGAAGCATCAGTGTCCACAACTCAACTCCTCTCCCTCTACCCAGAGAATCACTTTCCCATTGAGCCTGAATATGGGACAGGCAGAGATGCTGTGCCTGTTTCATTTTTTTCCTACAAAGTCTTTTACTTGTTTTGTGGTTCCAGGGACATCAACCCAGGGCCTCACGCATGCTAAGCACATTCTCGACCACTGAGATATACCAGCCATCTCTCATCTTTTTTTTTTTTTTCGGTCATTTTGTTTTCAGACAGGGTCTCTGTGTAGCCCAGGTGCCCAGGTTGACCTGGAACTCTAGATCCACCTGCTTCTGTTTCCTGAGCTTTCTCTTCTTTATTCTCAATCAACTGAACAAATGTTTGCTACCCAAGGGTGGTGGGCTGGTGGCCGCCACCCTTGCTGAACTTGACCAATGTCTACTTCTGTGGAAACCTTTCCAGACCTCCCTTGTCCCCACTCTGGAGAAATCTGAAGGCCCAAACTATCACCCCCTGACTTCTCTCAGCAATAGTGTCTGGGACTCAGTCAACACTAGGAACTGGAACCCTGGCTCTGCTATCCCCACCCCCTGAGACCAGTACCGTTTTATTTTCTCCCATTCTTATGCAGTGAAGCCCTTTCAGGCACCCTTGGGTGTAGCTCTCTTTTTCCTACTTCAGAACCCATGGTCCTCCTAGGAAGACCCCTACCTCCTTGGGGAGAGCAGCCTCCACAGTCCAGGCTGCAGACACACGTGCTTGGAGGAACCTTGAGCTTTAGACATGGGAGTTCAGACGAAGGGGTGATTTACCCTGCCACCCCACCACCCTGCAGCTAGCCAAGCTTCCAGGACCTAGGGAAGGCATGTTCCTTCTGGCCTGAAGGCCAGCTGCCCATCCTGAAAAACCAGTCTTGGGGGCTCTCCTCAAGGCTATAGTACCCAAGGGTCAAGTTAGACTGGATTCCCCTCCAGCTCCTCCCACACCAAGACAAAATCTGCCACCCTCAGGGCAGGGCCTCATTTGCCTCAGGAAGCCGCAGCCTGTCAGCACCTGTTCCAGGTTCCAGTTCCTAGCCCAGCATGGCATGCCCACTGCCTGTCCAGACCATGCCCTTGATCCTGATTCTGCTGGCTGTCCTGGCTCCGGGGACTGCAGGTCTCTGTTATTTCCGATGGGAGTGAGGAAGAGTTCAGAGGTCTAGACAGGGAGCACTGTGTCTTCCAGGGCTCTCAAAATAGGGGCTAGTCTGGCTGATTGGAGTTAAGGGGTGGTGATGGCAGTGACCAGGTGACAGACACTGGGTCAAAGGCACATTCCTGGGCTTCTTTCAGTCCTAGGAGGAGAGAAGTGTGGGTAAGGGTAAGGTTGGGAGCTACCTGGCTCCTAACATCCAAGCTCTGAGTTCCACTCAGTTCAGAGGAGGTTCCACCATCTGCAGCTCAACTTTGCCATCTGGTGGTCAGATCCACACGAGTCTGGGGGTTCTCACAGACTCTACCCCTTAGCAATGGCCCCAGGAGAACTCAGACTTGAGAATTGAGATGGGGGCTGGTCCCCATCTGAACTTCCTTCTGGCTTCCTGGCAGACTTCAACATCTCAAGCCTCTCTGGTCTGCTGTCTCCGGCACTAACAGAAAGTCTGCTAGTTTCCTTGCCCCCATGTCACCTCACGGGAGGCAATGCCACACTGATGGTTCGGAGAGCCAATGACAGCCAAGGTTTGCCACCCCTTCCCCTGGAATCCCCCTGGCTCCTAAAGACCCCTTAATAGGATACCATCAGCGTCCTTTCCCCCATTCATGCCTCCCTGTTAACCCCTCTCCCACGATACCCACACTCAAGAGCTGCCCCCTCCGTGGGACAGCCAGAAACTTGACCCTGCCCTTTACTCCCAATTCCGATGTAGTGGTGAAATCCAGCTTTGTGGTGCCTCCATGCCGTGGTCGCAGGGAACTGGTGAGCGTGGTGGACAGTGGGGCTGCCTTCACCATCACTCGGCTCAGCGCCTATCAGGTGACAAACCTAACACCAGGAACCAAATACTAGTAGGTACCTGGTGGAGGTCTGGGGCACCTGTGCAAGTGTACAGGAAGAGAGGGCACAGCTAAAGGGTGTGAAGTGTGAGCCTCTACCTCAGGAAGGCACAGATGGGAGGCATGGCTATGAGAGGGGGTAGGCAAAGGGAGGGACAGTACCTGGGGAGAGGGGGGCACAGGAACTCCTCTTCCCCAAAGTCTTATATGCGCACTAGGGGTTCTGTTTTCTCCCAACTGCCAACCCCCAAAAGCATTTCCTACCAAGTGCAGAAGGGGACATCCACAGAGTCCAGTCGAGAGACCCCAATGTCCACACTTCCTCGTAAGTAAAACCCCTACCTCACTCATATCTCAGGGTCCACAGACCTCCTTGAGGTCTTTATCCCCCAGTCCAGGTTAGCTGCATCCCTTGTACCATTTGAACTCTTCACTGCACTCTCTCTTGCTCAGTGCTTGGCCTGGCAACCTGAACTAAAAGACTCCTTGTGAAGAGGAGTGGTGTCCTATCAACTGCCCTTGGTGATTTCCATGGAACTTGATTCCTGACTGTTGCTGTGACGGGTTCATTGGCTGCATTGGTTGCTTGGCTGGTTGGATGGTTAACTGGTTGAATTGATATCTGGTTTAATGTATAACTGGTTGAACTGATGGCTGGTTGGATGGCTGAATGAAGGACTAAGCTTCAGGGTGGTTAGGGGCCCCTTCTGCCCACAAAAGTCTTCCCTTGCTCATCTGACAGGAAGAAACATGGAGTCCATTGGACTGGGAATGGCCCGAACCGGGGGCATGGTGGTCATCACGGTGCTGCTGTCTGTCGCCATGTTCCTGTTGGTTGTGGGCCTCATTGTTGCTCTGGCACTGGGTACCCGTAAATGAGGAGGGCTCTCCTGTACCCCAGGGTCCTCAGAGAAGTACAGGCTCTGTCTCTATCTCCAGCCTGCTTCCTGACAGGCATCAGTCACTGGTTCTTTTTTTTTTTTCTGGTTTTTTGTTTGTTTGTCTTTTATTTGTTTGTTTGTTTTTAAACCAAACATCAGTCACTGGTTCTTTCAGTGCCTTCTTCGTCCTCTCCTACCTCCCTCCACTGGAGTCCTTTCCTACATGTGTCCCTCTCCCTGCCCCATGTCTCATCTTCCAACACTCCCTGTTATTCCCTCACTGCACTTCTGTTAGAGCTGACTTCTCTCCCTATTTTACCCTCTGTCCCCCAGCCCTTCCCACCCCTTCCTCCATGAGCTTGGCTCTTCCAATAAAGGCTGATCCATGTTTGCTGTGAGTGCCCCTTTAGTGGCTCATATCTATGTCATCAATGTCAAAGGCAGGTGTATGTTATTCTCCCCAGCCCCAAATTTCAGGGTGACCTTTTCCATGAGGGAGATAGGCAGGGGCAGCGGCAATGACAGTCCAGGAGGTCAGCTTCCAGTTCCACATCTGGGCTGTAGGCATGGCATTCTGCACTCAGCAGGCAACACAAGCCAGAGTCTAGGCTGAGCAGGGATGGAAGTGGAAGCTGAGGCTAGAGCACCAAGTGGGGGCCTGGTATGAGAGCTGGCAGAGCAAGAGGAAGTAGTACTGAGGAGACAAAGACAGGGCACTGGAACATGGGTGGAGGGCAGACTAAGGGGGCTCTAGGAGGTAGGAGTAGTGGAAAGACCCTGACAGGAGGGAGATGAGCGGTACAATGTGGTAACTGAGGGACAAGGGCAGGAATGGCACCCTCATTCATTTAAAAATAATTTTTATACTATGTGTGTGTTTTGCTTATTTATGTGTTCGCTGGATAGCTTTAATGTCAACTGGACACACCTGGGTTGAGGGCGCCTCAATTAGGGAAATGCCTCCATTGAACTGGCCTGTAGCTATGTCTGTGGGGCATCTTCTTGATTGCTGAGTGCTGTGGGAGGGCCCAGCCCACTGTGGCTGGTGAGCCTGTGATGCATAAGAAAATAGGTTGAGCAGGGGCCAGGGGAGCAAGCCAGTAAGCAGCGTTCCTCCATGGCCTGTGCTACAGCTCCTGCTTCCAGGTTCCTGCCCTGAGTTCCTACCTTGGGCTACCTGATGAACTGTGACCCGGGAGATTTAAGCTAAATAAACCCTTTCCTCCCCAAGTTGGTAGTGGTCAGAGTGTTTTGTCACAGCAATGGAGAAACAAACTAGGACAATGTGTAAGTGCACCCATGTCATGCAATGCACAAGGCGACCATAAGAAGGCATTAGATCCCCTGGAACTGGATTTCAGGCAGTTGTTAGTCACCATCTGTGTGCTGGGAACCAAACCTGGGTCCTCTGCAAGAGCAGCCAGTGCTCTTAATCCCTGAGCCATCTCTCCATCCCCTCATTCATTTGTTTGTGCTTGTTTGTTTGTTTGTTTGCTTGTTTGTTTGTTTGTTTGTTTGAGACAGGGTTTCCCTGTAGCCACAACTCACTATTGTAGACCAGTCTGGCCTTAAGCTCACAGAGATCTGCCTGCCTCTGCCTCCTAAGTGTTGGGATTAAAAGTGTGCTCTACCACACTCAACCTTATTTTAAAGAAAAATAGAGAGAGCTGGACGTGGTGGCACACGCCTTTAGTCCTGGCACTCAGGAGGCAGAGGCAGGCAGATCTCTGTGAGTTCAAGGCCAGCCTGGTCTACATAGTGAGTTCCAGGACAGCTGGGGCTACAGGGAGACCCTGTCTCAAAAAGACGAAAAAAAAAATATATATATATATATTTTTATGAGTGTTTTGCCTGCACCACATTCATGCAGTGCCCATGGATGCCAGAAGAGGGCATCTGATACCTTGAAACTGGTGTTACAGATGGCTGTGAGTTGCCATGTGGGTGCTGTAAATTGAATCCAGGTCCTCTGTAAGAATAGCAAGTACTTTTAACCACTCTTAGCCATCTCTCCAGTCCCTTAAAGGTTTATTTTTATTTATGTGTGTCTCTGTGTAGTTATACACATGTGTGTGGGTGTCTACAAAGGCCAGAAGAGGGTGTCAGATCCCCTGGAGCTGGAGTTCCAGGCAATTAGTTGCGAGCAGCGGGGTATGAGTGCTGGGAACCAAAACACAGGTTCTGTGAAAAAGCAGCAGGTGCTCTTAACTATTGAGCTATCTCTCCAGCTCCTAAAACTTATTATCTGTGTGTGTGTGTGAAGGTCAAAAGACAACTTTCTGGAGTTGGTTACCTCCTTCCATCATGGGTTCTAGGAATCAAACACAGGCCTCCAGGCTTTCAAAGCAAACATTTGTACCCACTGAGCCATCTCACTAGTCCACTTTCTTTCACTTTTGTCCTCTCCAACATGTATTCCTGATAAGAAGTAATGACATTTACATTGCACCTAGGATGAAAACAAAGATCTTTAAGGTGACCTTTAAGGTCAGGCCTGATGCATCCCATAGCTTTCCCTTAACTTTGACCACCATGCTTCCTGTATTCTGCATCTCTGCTTGCTTCAGTACCTTTGCTCAGAGGATTCCAGGTGCCTGAACTACTCTGTCGCTGCTCCCAGCCCCTCTCCACTCACGTTTTCATAACTCACTGTCCTTTTTCCAAGGAAGTTTCTGAACCCCATGACACCCTCCCCTCACCCCCAGATCCCTGTCCTTTCCCATAGTGTAGAACTATGAGTGATTACTCAGTTGTCTCCCACTCCAGGCAACAAGTTCCCTGAAAGCAACTGCTTGTAAAGACACTTGATACACAAAGCCTGAGGACCTGAGTTCAATCCTCCAAAACCCACGTAAAGGTGGAAGGACGGAACCCAATCTACAAAATTGTCCTCTGACCTCCACATACTCACTGTGGCATGAGAGTCCCGCCCCAGCACACACATCATGTACACATAATAATAAATAAAATTTAGCCAGGCTTGGTGGCACATGCTTTTAGTCCCAGCACTCAGGAGGCAGAGGTAGGAGGATCTCTATGAGTTCAAGGCCAGCCTGGTCTACATAGTGAGTTCTAGGCCAGCTGGGGCTACAGGGAGACCCTGTCTCAAAAAGATCAATAATATAAAGCCTGAAACTCTGAAACTATTAGAAGAAAACATTAGGAAAAACCTACAAGATATAGACGTAGGAAAGGATTTTCTAAACTGGACATCAATTGCTCAGGAAACAAGGGCAAGAATTAACAAATGGGACCTCATTAAACTAAAAAGCTTCTGTACATCAAAGGAGACAACCAAGGAAGCAAACAGAAAACCCACAGAATGGGAGAAAACCTTCACCAGTGACAACAGAGGTTTAATATCCAGAATATATAACGAACTAAAAATACTGAGAATCAAGACAAGAAGCAACCCAATCAAAAGACGGCCTAAGGAGCTGAACAGAAAGTTCTCAAAAGAAGAAGTAAAGATGGCTATAAAACATCTTAAAAGATGTTCAACATCACTAATAATTAGGGAAATGCAAATTAAAACCACTTTAAGATTTCACCTTACCCCAGTCAGACTGGCTAAGATTAAGAGAACAAATGATACCAAATGTTGGAGAGGATGTGGGGAAAGGGGAACACTCATCCACTGCTGGTGGGGCTGCAAACTGGTTCAACCCCTATGGAAAGCAGTGTGGAGAACTCTTAAAAAACTACAAATGAACCTACCATTTGACCCAGTTATACCATTCCTTGGCATATACCCAAAGAACTCATCCTATCGCAGAGACACTTGTACATCCATGTTTGTTGCTGCTCTTTTCACAATAGCTAAGAGATGGAAGCAACCTAAGTGTCCCTCAATTGATAAGTGAATAATGAAAATGTGGTTCATTTATACAATGGAGTTTTACTTAGCAGTAAAGAAAGATGAGATCATGAAATTTGCAGGTAAGTGGATAGAACTAGAAACTGTTATACTGAGTAAAGTAACACAGGCGCAGAAAAAAATCGACGTATGTTCTTCCTCATATGTGGATCTTAGAACCAGACTCTGATAAATAAGTATGCAACCAAACATAACTACAGGAACCAGGATAATGGAAAGGAAACAGGGAGGTAAAGGAAAAGAAAGAAACTGAAAGAGAAGAACAGTAGGAAACAGGCCTTAATAAGGGAGATATGGATAAAAATTGGGTTAGTTTAAGGGATGGGGGAGGGAAGGGTATACAAGGAACTTGGGGATAAAGGGAAAGAAGGAGCTGGAGAGGTAGGACCATAGGAGAAGGGTATTAGTAAGGGAGAAGGGGGGAGATGGGGGCACTTTAAGAGGGAAAACCATGATGGAGGGGTGAGACAATGTGAGAGACAAACAATGCCTAGCTAGTTTTGAACACCAGAGAGAACCATATTACTCCTACAACCTACTGACAAATTACACATAGAAGATCAAGAAATATATGTCTAGGTAAGGTTTATCTGAGAACAATTGGTCTTTGTCTAAGATTTATCTACATGACACAGAGTAATTAAAAATACCAGACTGGTGGAACTAACTTCTTGGGTTTTGAACAGACATACTTTGAGGTCTATAATAATTTTGTCAGAGGGACATAAAGGAACAGTTTTTGCTCCTTGTCCTCCTAGGTTGACTAGTTCCAGGGACTATGAGCATCTCTCAAAATGTCCTATAATGGTGGTGGGTCACCTGTCCTCTTCATCAAGGAGGCCAAGG